TGGTCATATGTCTGACTTTGGAGGATCTAGGGAAGAAAATCTACATGGAATTGCTGAAGCCTGAGTACTGGCAAACGTGTCCTTTCCATCTCCCTTCCCTCATGCACTTTCTGCAACCCACTGGTGCTGGCCCATCTGCTCTAACAAATTTTGAAAAACAAGGATTGCTGTGACTTTTGATTTTAGTGTCCTACTCAGGTTCACTGAGTCAATGACTGAAAGTCTAGTGTGAGTAACATTTCAAGAAGAGCTTTAAGTCTCCACTGGTTTTATCAAGCAGAGACCCAATACCAGTCTGTCTCTTACCTTTGGTCTTACTCGTAAAACTTAAAAAAAAGAAAAAGATACAAACAAAAGACACAAAAAACTATCTTCATACAGTAATTTCCTGTGATTTTTCTATTCTTCACAAAAGAACTTAAATCTATTTGTAATACATACTGAAATATGGGGAAGGTATACATTGGGTCATATTCACCACTCTATCTACAAAAACAAAAGAAATAAAGGAAGAAAAGTAACAGAAATTACGTGATTTGTATACCCAAACATGCCCCAAATGATGATTAACTAAAAATTCATTTTTGATTCATGTAATTTATATTGATATCTATAATGTATTTTGTTAATTATTATTTTAATTGTACATATTTTTGGTGTACACTGAGGTCTTTAGGTACATGCACACAATGTGTGATCAGCAAATCAAGGTTCTTAGCATAGAAAAGCATTATTATAGATACAACAAACAGGTTTCATTTGTCAATACACTCCCCAATGTCGGCATTCAGAAGTTTTCTAGTTTTCCTTTGGATTGCCATCAAGTGGGGATTTCTCCCTTGTCACCAGACACAACCATACTTGTTGGTACTCAATAAGGGATTGCTCCATCCTCCTTCAGTTGTTTTTTATGAACATTTCCAACAACATTCCAGAAATTGGCAAGGCAAAGAAAAGCAGGAATGAGAATCTAGTCATCTGCCCAGACTGAATTGTTGGGGGAAGCTGCAACTCTTTGGAAGAGAGACAGGAAACTTTCTTAGCCAGATTTTACTACAATAGTATTGCATGATGACACACAATGTAAGTGAATAGATTATAAGATCTCCTACCTCCTACCTGATCTTTAACTCAATGGCTACAGAAGGCAAGCTCCAGGTTCTGGGTTAGGTTCAAGTGGAAACTTGTGTCCTTTTCATTTGTCCTCAATTTAAAAGAACAATCTTAAAGTGAGTTTATATCCCTCCTCTGGGGTGCAAGTTGAACATAACATAATGGGCTGATATGAATATGAAATGTCTTAGAAATGCTGTCCCTTGCACAATTTGTTGGCAAACTAAGTCTCATATGGTCAACCTCATTATTCCAGTGGCAAAATATATTATTTTATGAGGTCAAGGAAAAAGCTGAATATTCAAATCATTTCTGTGAAGCATTTGACCTGCTCAGCAATGGGTTAATGATATGTGAATGCAGCCAATAATTAATCATTGCCTGTTGTGGCTCATCAGGAATTCTATTAACTGATTAATTTGGGTGGAGCCTTGCTCATGTCAGATGCATATAACATCTTGAAGGCCAAGGCATTACCCTTGTTTCTCTGGCCTTATTTTGGATGGTGACTAAAATATTAGAAGGCTCAGAGGGCTAACCATGCTTGATTTGCCATCAGGCTACCTATCAAATAAGAATGAGTTAAGAGGATAATGGGATAATTGAGAACACATAGTACTTGAACAGAGCACCCAATAACAACATTCTCATTCTAATGACATTTAAGATTGTGTATATCACACTAATTACCTGGTGAAGGGGCACAAGGACTGAACTGAGAGCAGCTCATTACCTTTGGAAGAAAAGAAGTCTCATTCCTTAAGATTTCCATGCTGTCCTTCAACAGCTGGCTGCCCTAGAAATTATCGCTTCGTCTAAAAATTCTCCCCATTGTGATTATGACAGCTTAGGCTACAGGAGCAGAATGGCAGCTGACAGCAGATGAGTATTTTGAAGAAATGGGAACACTAAAAAAGAGAAAAAGGGGAAAATAGAGTGGCCTGGAGGAGTCACCTTCACTCCCTAATCAGAGCAGGCTCATGTCAGGCCACCAATGCAGTTTCTCTTTCCCCCAAAGCCTACTGAAAACAGGAAAAAAGAGGAGAGTGTGGGGTCCAGCTGGCAGACATGGGAGCCACTTGCTGTTGCAGGGACACACCCTGGTGCCAGCTGTGGAAGTGCTGCTCTCTGCTGCTTCATCTGGGAGGTCACTGCTTCACCACAGGTAAGTAGAAGAGGGAGGGAGGCTGGAGGTGAGCACTTCACTCTAATAAGTAGTAGAGGGAGGAAGGCAGGAGGTGAGCATTGTTGATGTAGGCAGCTGTCCAGATCCCAGAGGCTTAGGGATCCAGCAGCACTGGATGAAAATCCCCGATTCTGATCTGGTGTTAGTCCTTGGCAAGCACCAGGGACAGACACGTAGATGCTGAGGTCTTGGGTGGATCCTGTTTTCTACTGTGACATAGGAGCTATGAGCAAATTCTCTGTGCCCACTTCTGTATCAAAGTCTGTCAATTTTGATTTTGTGAGATCTTTGGCCTCAAAAAATGAAAAAAATTCTGTCATTCCAAAACAATTTATTTCTCTTTTCAGTGGTACTGGGGAGGGCTTGGAGTGAGCATTTTCCAACAATGAAATCTGTTATCGAGTCACAACTTTAAAAGTTCTTCCACTTAAAATGCACAATCCTTGACAGGTGGTGCAAGTGTGTAAAGGGGAACCTCTGAGGGTGGCCTGGAGACTGTGCACATTGTCCACATGCAGACCACTCAGTGCACATCAGGCCCCACCCACTGACTCTCCCGAAGTACATCTTCCTGACCCCAGAAGGATGAGGGGCTTTCCCATCAGGCTCTGTGCAAGTCAATGAACCCATTTCCTAGAAGACTCAGAATGCCCAGGAGTGGGGTGGTACCCTGGGGAGTGCAGTGACCCCATCACTGATGTGGTATTGTGCCAACATCTGATTTAATGGTAGCCTCTTTGGCAGGGAAAGTTGTGCTGATCTGTGAGAAATAACAGAGCAACTTCAGATTCTGATCCTGAAGGTTGCCAACTTCCCCACAACCCTGCGCCTCATCTCACAGACTCCATTTCCTACTTCTTCAGAAAAAGTGTGAAACCTCAAAGCTCAATGCAGGAAGTAATGCTTGTAGTTTGGATCTCAGTGTTATTTATTTTCACCTGCTTTTTGACTGTCTGTAATATCCTGTTTGCTTTTCAGCTCCTAAGAAGAACAGTTAGTTTTCTGAGGAGCCAGCTGAGGAGGAAACACAAGCAGTGAATAAAGGCAACTGAGAACGTGCAGAGCCCCTGCCAGGTGAGTTTGCTGCAGACCTGCCACCCATGAACTTGTCCCTCAACTAAAAACAACAGCAAATTTCATTCTGGGGTTGCATTGGAATGTGCAGGAAGACCATGGGAGGCCACTGGGAAGAGTCCTCTGGCATTTGACAAGGGCTGTGTACCCCTCCCACCCCCCAGCTCAGCTGCTATCTCTGCAGAGGCAGCAGGGAGGTGAAGTGTGCTCCCCCCTCCTGTTCTCAGTGGTCTCCTGACTTATTCCTATACCTGCCCTCAACACAGTCATGAGAACCTGCATTTTCTCTCATTTTCCTGGAGGCCTTACCTTATTCCCTGCTTATGTTCTTCTGAGGACTTCTCATGATCAGATAAAGGTTGATTATTTTGTTCAGTATCTGTTTCCCCACAGGAACAGAGATCCTTGAGACAGCAATTTGCATTCACTTAGTAAGTTCCTTGACAATGGATCTCTAGAACAGTATCCAGCATGTGGCAAGTACTCAAAAAATATTATTTGACTTAATGAGAGAAGAAATTCTTTTGTAATGCTTAATAATATTTCTAACCACAGTTCACCTCTACCATTTCTCATTCTGCCTCCACTTGCCCCAAAATGTTAATATTTTCAGGGCTCTGACATCAGTGCTTTGCTTTCCTCAATCTCTTCTGAAAAATTTCAAGCAATGCTGCTAGTACTCTCTCCACATTTTTAAAATTGATGCATTATAGATGTACATAATGATAGTATTTATTGTTAAATATTTGTACATGCACACAATATAATAATATATTTGGGTCAATTTAACTCCGGAGCACTCTTCTTGACCTACTCAGTTTGACTTATTTTGCGTAACATAATGATCTCATGTTCTATTCATTTTTCTGCAAATGACATTCATTTTTATGGCTAAATACACCTCCAGTGTGCATATTTATCACACTCCCTTTATTCATTCATTTGTTGATAGATATCCAGGCTAGTTCCCTAGTTTGGCTATTGTGAACTGTGCGGCTATCAATATGGTTATGGGTGTATCATTATAGCATGTTAACTTTAATTCTTCGGGGTAAATATTGAGAAGTGGTATAGCTGGCTCATAGAGTGGTTCCACGTCTAGTCTTTTGAGGAAACTCAATACTGATTTACAAAGTGATTGTACTAATTTACTATGCCACCAAAAGTGTAAAGGTGTTCCTTGCTTTCCCCACTCTCTTCAGTCTTTATTAGCATTTGTGTTCTTGATTTCTGACTGGTACGAGAATAAATTTCAGTGTAGCTTTGATTTGCATTTCCATAATTGAAAATCTTGTTGACCATGTTCTCATGTATTTGTTGGCCATTTGTATTTCTTCTTTTTAGAAGTGTCTATGTGGTTCATTTAGCCATGTATCAATTGTTTTTTAGTTTATATATTCTGGATGTTAATCTTCTGTTGGAAGATTAGCGAGGAAAGATTTTTTTCCTATTCTGTAGGTTCTTTCTTCACATTCTTAATTATTTCCTTTTATGATCAGAAGATTTTAAATTTGTTGTCATCCCATTAATTAACTCTTGGCCTTGTTTCCTGAGCTTTAGGGGGATCTATTGAGGAAATCATTGCTTATGCCTGTATGCTGATGTTTGACCCTATGTTTTCTTATAGGCGTTACATCGGTTTTGATCCAATTCTTAGGTCTTTGATGCATTTTCAGTTGATGTTTGTGCAAGGTGAGAGGTAAGAGTTTCATTTCATTCTTCTACATATGGATAATCAGTTATCCTGGCACCATTTGTCAAAAAGGCTGTGTGTCCAGTTTAGTTTTTTGGCATCGACATTTGTCAAGGATCAGATGACTGTATCAGTGGATGTTTCTTTCCGTGACTTCTGACCTGTACCATTGCTCTATGTACCTGCTTTTATGCCAGTAACATGCAGTTTTGTTACTATAGCTCTGTAGCATAATTTAAAATTACATATTGTGATGCTTCCAGCCTTGCTTTTTTAAAAAAAATTTGCTTACAACTGTTTTGAGTATTCTGGATTTTTTATTCTTCTAAATGAATTTTTGGACAGTTTTTCTAGTTCTCTGAGGAATAACATTGGTATTTTAATGGGGATTGCATTGAATGTATGTAGTATGGCCATTTTCACAATGTTCTTAAAATTAATTAATTCTGATTATTATAATTAGAATTATTATAATTAATATTAAGTCTGCTGATCCATGAACATGGGAGGCCTTTATACCTTCTGGGGTTTTCTTCAATCTCTTTCTTCAGTGTTCTATAGTTTTTTGTAGAGGTCTTTTAATCCTTGGTTAGATTTACTCCAATGCAATTTTTTGTCTTAGGTTCTTGTGAATGGAATTGTTGTCCTGATTTCTTCTTCAGCCAATTTATTATTGTGTATAGGAAATCTATTGATTTCTGTACATTGATTTTGTAACCTGATACTTTACCAATATGTTTATTAGCTCTAGCAGTCTTTTGGTGGAATATTTTAGATCTTCTCGATATAAGATCATACTGTCTGCAAATAGTAATAATTTGACTTATTTTTTCCCTGTTTTTATCCCTGGTACTTCTTTCACTTGGTTGGCAACACTTTTTGAGTCCTTCATGGAAATGTTGATGATGTACATAGGTCATCTATACGAGGACTTGACATGCTACATAATGTTTTTACTTTTAATAACATACAAAATGTAGAAATTAATGTTAAATATTCCACAGGCAGAGAACTGACATGAATGTGGCTTGAATAGCCATAAGAAAGACTTCAAGATCTTGTGATTCACTGAGTGGCTTTTCTGAGTTACAGGTGACCATGGCATCTGAATCTCCTATGAAGATCCCCATTTGTTTAGTGGAAAACTGGAATGAGCAGCTGACAGTGAATTCAGAAGCCTTGAAGATTCTTGAAAATATATGTCAGCCTGTGGTGGTGGTGGCCATTGTAGGGACATATCGCACGGGGAAATCCTGCCTCATGAATCATCTTGCAGGACAGAACCATGGTGAGTGTGGTACTGGGGCAAGGACAGTTGCTTGGAACCACAAATAGGGCAAGCTGATCTCACTTTCTCTAGGGTCATCTTAAGGAAGAGGCTAATCCCTCCCACTAAAGAAAATGTTTAATACCAGCATACTCATCACCTCTCACCTATCCAAAATTATCTCATCCTTTATCCATTAATAAAGAGATCTCCAACTTTATGAAAATATTTGCTTCACTGTTGTTCCTGATCCCATCCACTATCAGCTGCTCAGGAGCTGAGCTCTAGCAATTACTCCCCTCTTTTTTTCTTGCATCCTTTTGTCCAAGCTACATGGCCTGCAAATATACTTAACTTTGTCCTTTTAAGAAAAAATAGATGGGCAGAAGGATGCACAGTAAGATCCCTCTATATCCAATATTCAAATCGAACTACCAATTTTCTTTCTATTTCATAGCAAATCTTTGACAAATTAGCATACCTTTCTCTTTGCTCAGTCTTTTGTAACATGCAAATTATAACAGTGTACATAAAGCCCATGTGTGCAACATAGTTAATAAATATAAAGTGAACAATTATATAATCACTATGCACATCAGGAAATGAAACATTATCAACATTCAAAAGCCCAAATCATATCCTCTCACACTCTCAACAAAGCTCATCCATAATTTGATTTTCAGGACACACTCTATTCTTGCTTCTAAGTAATGGTTCTATAATCTGTTATGCAGTCTACAAAATATCTTTGTTCAGCCTTCTTTTAACTTTTATACAAAAGAGACTGTGGTGTATATATTCTTGTGTGTCTTACTTCTTTTGCTCAACAAGAAATTTATGAGCATCCTCTGTTTGTCACACATATCTGTAATTTATTTGTTTTCAGTACTTTAGAGTATGCTTGTACCAGTTTATTTATCCATTAGTTGTTGATGAGCAGTGGTGTTATTTCTAGGTTTTACCTTTAATGAATATGGTAGTTATGAATATTCTTATATTTATATCCTGGTGACAATGTACAAAAACTTCTCCTGTGCCATATATCCAGAAGTGGAATTTCTGGATCTCAGTTTCCATATACGTCTTCAGCCTTTCTGGGTCATATTAAACAGCTTTCCAAACTTTGTTTCATTTACATTCTCTTCATGAGATTTCCATACATCCTAAAAATAATTGGTAACATAAGACGAAATGTTAACTCTTACTGATCTATGAACTGGATAGTTGTATGTTATCTATCTCACTATAAATACAGGTAAACACCTGGACATTTATATTTCCTATTTTGTGAACTTTTTCACAAAAGTCAGTCTACTAATCTCTAGGTCTCTCTCTCTCCCCCCTCCACCCATGCCCCGCACCCCGCCTCTTCCCCTCGCTTCTTCTGAATCTTTTGTGCCCTTCTTCCATTTTCCCTCTCTGCTTTTCTCTCCTCTTCTCTTTTGACCATTCTTCCATTGTCACCTAAACAAAGCATTTTTGTCTTTGTCACTCTTTTAATGGAATAATTATCATCAATCAAGGGAAGACACTTTTTTTCTTGCCTAGAACAAACAAATTCATAAGTCACATTTCAAGGGATGAAAGGGTTGAGACCCTAAGAGACAGATAATAGAGAGGAAGTTTCAGCAGCATTGTTCTTGTTTTCTACTCAAGATAACATCAAGCAACAATGAGATCGTTCCCAATGCTCTGCTAAGGGAATTTATGGTTCCAAAGTACTTTAAACATCTCAACTGGGACTCTCCAGCCCTCCACATTATAGTGTCATAGTAATAACAGAAAGAAACTGATTCACTTCCAGTCAAAACCAGGTCACTATTTCTTTCTCTCTGTAAGTGGCTCATTTTCCTTTTATTATACCTTGTATTCTTGACAGTGTTGATTTCTCACCACACTTTGTCCTCTCTAAAGATGAGAGTACTCATAGTTGGGCTTACTCCGATCAGTCAGAAATCAGATGCTACCAACATATAAAAAATTGTAGATTTCCTACCTCTTTATGGGAATCTCAGAGGCTATGGAAATGGGACAGCCCAGGTCATGCAGAAACAATCCTCTAGGAATTTTGTCATTTCCATTCTATTCCTAGTTGAAGGAAGGAAACATTACTGTATGCAGGTGGTCAAAGTCTTGGACTGCTGGACAGGTCGTATCAGCCACTGGTTCCAGGACTAGTCTTCAAATCCTTTCTCCTATGGGATTAACTCTTTGTAAAGAAGGTCAACAGGTATCACAGGTCTTTCCTGCTTTTTCTTCATTTATGTCCTCCTGATGGGGCACAGTTCATTATTTGGCTGAAGAGAAGAAAGCAAAAAACCCAATAAGGAGAAAGGGGAAAAAGAAACCTGAAAGAAGCTCATATATCAGTACAGGTCCTTGAAGGGTACAGCTGACCAAATTATTATCTTTCCATCACTATAAGAAATACCAGAGATAATTAAACTGGTGGAGATAAAATGTTGACTCACAGTTGTGGAGGTTTCATGATTAATTTGCCCCGATGTTTTGGGCCTCTGGTGAGAGAGCATATCATGGCAAACAGCTACTGGAAAATCAAAAGTTTGCTCAACTCATGGTAAACCAAAGAGCGGGGAAATAAAAGAGAATAAAAAAAGGAGGAATACCAGGATCCCACAATCCCCTTCAAGGGCACTTTTCCCACACCCAGTAATGTGAAGTCCTCCCACTAGGCCCTGCCTATTAAGGGTTCCTCCCAATAGTGTCAAACTGGGGGCCAAGACTTAAACACTTGGGTCTTTGGCGGCATTCTAGATCCAAACTATAGCACCCATTCACAGGGTAATTGAGCATTGAATGAAGGAATTATTTCTAAGGTCAGAGTATGGATAAAGGAATCCAGCCAGATGTGATAAAGCAGTAGCCACTCACCTCTGGTACACTGATGAGGTGAGTTTAGAGTGGATGCCATGATGTGGCAAAGAGAAGAACTATTGGATGGACCTACGGAAAGAAACAGTGACCTGAGGTAGAGGAACAAGCCCCTGGGACACTGTGGCCCAGCACGATGGAAGCTGGAGGAACACATGCCTGCCTTCTGGTCTCCCACTGGTGTTTCCAACTGGTTGAACTCAGTCTGCAGCCAGAGGACACTGCAGCTCTTCCTGGTCAGATAAAAATACATAGGATGACAGCACAGGATGATAGATTTTACACTAATTCTTAAGGTGAAATAATTTGAGCACTTGAAAGAATAATGTGAATTTGAGGCATGAAGGGGTTTTTTGAGAAAGATAGACAACACGTGGATTATTTATCTTTGTGAAATACTAGCAAACACTACTTGCTCAACACTGTACATTCCTACAGATTTAACCCCTGTAACCCCTGGCAGCTTTTCCTCTCAGCTGTCACTCTATATTGTCTTCTCCTCTTCCCTCACAGGCTTCCCTCTGGGCTCCACAGTGAAGGCTAAAACCAAGGGCATCTGGATGTTGTGTATGCCCCACCCCAGCAAGCCAAACCACACCCTGGTCCTCCTGGACACTGAGGGCCTGGGAGATGTGGAAAAGGTGAGGCAGAGAATGTGCTGTTCTCTTTATTCATGTGCCATTCAATTGGTCACCTCAGTTTGACTACCATGTCATATTCCTGAACTAGTAATTCAATTAGGAATAAGGAGGCTAAATTCCATTTCCTCAAACTTCCTTAGCAACCTAAAATACCTTGGTTTTTTGAGTGAGTTTTTTTTAGCTGCTGTTAAAATAATAGGTGACAGGAACAATTTTAGGAGGAAAAGTTTATTCGGGGGCTCACGATTTCAGAGGCCTCAGTCCATTGTTAGACAGATTCATTCCTCGGAGCTTGAGGTGAGCAGTACACTGTGTGCAAGTGTGTGGCAGAGGGAAGCAGCTCACAGGATGATCAGGAAACAGAGAACGATTACATACAAAATATACACCCAAACATAGACCCCCCCAGGGACTCACCTCCTCCAGCCACAGCCTGCCCGCCTATAGTTACCACTCAGTTACCCATCAGGGATTAATTCACTGATTGGGTTAAGACACTCATAACCCAATCATTTCTTTCTTTTTACTTTAAAGAAATAATAATTTTATTTCAAAAATACAAAAACCTTATACTCAAAAAAAATCAGATTCATTCTAACACATTGTATTCTCAAAAACTTGTACCATGAGAGATAAACCCAACCTCTTTATATTTTAGATCTCTACAAGAGAAAATAAATGGGCTCCATGTTGTCGTTATTGTTGTTTTTCCAATACTGGGAATTAACCCAGGGGTGTTTTACCCATGAGCTATAGCCCCAGTTCTTCTAATTAAAAAAAAAAAATATTTGCTCTTTTTAGTTATACATGACAGTAGAATGTATTTGGACATACCATATATACATGGAGTGTAACTTCCCATTTTTGTGGTTGTCCATGATGTGGAGATACACTGCTCATGTATTCACATAGGAACATAGAAAACTTATGTCTGATTCATTCTACTGTCATCCATTCACATTTCCCCTCTCTTACCCCCACTCTGCCTTCCCCAACTGTTGTGAATCAGCATGTGCATGTCAGAAAGAACATTAGGCCTTTGATAACATTAGGCCTTTGATATTTCCTCTGAACCTTCTTGCATTATTTCACACATAAGCTTTTGGGGAACACCTCACACCCAAACCATTACTTTGGTAAACCATGACAGATCTTTTATTTTTATTTTTTTTATAATTATTATTGTTGGTTGTTCAAAACATTACATAGTTCTTGATATATCATATTTCACATTTTGATTCAAGTGGGTTATGAACTCCCATTTTTACCCCGTATACAGATTGCAGAATCACATCGGTTACACATCCACTGATTTACATATTGCCATACTAGTGTCTGTTGTATTCTGCTGCCTTTCTTATCCTCTACTATCCCCCTCCCCTCCCCTCTTCTCTCTCTACCCCATCTACTGTAATTCATTTCTCCCCCTTGTTTTTTTCCCTTTCCCCTCACTTCCTCTTGTATGTAATTTTGAATAACCCTGAGGGTCTCCTTCCATTTCCATGCAATTTACCTTCTCTCTCCCTTTCCCTCCCACCTCTCATCCCTGTTTAATGTTAATCTTCTTCTCATGCTCTTCTTCCCTACTCTGTTCTTAGTTACTCTCCTTATATCAAAGAAGACATTTGGCATTTGTTTTTTAGGAATTGGCTACCTTCACTTAGCATAATCTGCTCTAATGCCATCCATTTCCCTGCAAATTCTATGATTTTGTCATTTTTAATGCAGAGTAATACTACATTGTGTATAAATGCCACATTTTTTTTATCCATTCATCTATTGAAGGGCATCTAGGTTGGTTCCACAGTCTTGCTATTGTGAATTGGGCTGCTATGAACATCGATGTAGCAGTGTCCCTGTAGTATGCTCTTTTTAGGTCTTTAGGGAATAGACCGAGAAGGGGAATAGCTGGGTCAAATGGTGGTTCCATTCCCAGCTTTCCAAGAAATCTCCATACTGCTTTCCAAATTGGCCGCACCAATTTGCAGTCCCACCAGCAATGTACAAGTGTACCCTTTTCCCCACATCCTCGCCAGCACTTGTTGTTGTTTGACTTCATAATGGCTGCCAATCTTACTGGACTGAGACGGTATCTTAGGGTGGTTTTGATTTGCATTTCTCTGACTGCTAGAGATGGTGAGCATTTTTTCATGTACTTGTTGATTGATTGTATGTCCTCCTCTGAGAAGTGTCTGTTCAGGTCCTTGGCCCATTTGTTGATTGGGTT